ATGTTAAATACTGTTTCACTGATGTATACCTTTGCTGATGTCGCCAATAGTCACATGCTGCCTGTCAGACATCCATGATAAGAAAAAAAAATTTCCTATGGCCAAACAATTACATTTACATTTGGCACCTTGTTTCCTACTTGGCTGCTTGTATTCACAGCTTAAACATTAGGGACAGTGGTGTTTTGAGCTAAATGCTAACATTAGCAACATTAGCATGCTAACATACCCATAGGGTAAATCCCAATTCCCTTAATTTCATCCATGGTCCCTGCCTTACGTCTTGTGTCTTTGTCCCGCCCACATAAGATGCGAGCAGAGAGAAACTGAGGAAGCACATGAAGTGCCCAGTCACCAACAACCACGCTAACACAGCATTTGCCAGTTAGCACTAAACACAAAGTACAGCTGAGGCTGAGGGGAATGTGATTGGTAGATGATGAGATATTTCGATCTGTGTTGAACCGATCAATTAACAGATTGGACCTTTGCCACCCACAGAGCCACGTCTGGCTAAACAGTGGCCAACCCCCCAGACATGATGATTCAGGGCTCATCTCTGTCCTGGCATCAGTTGTTTCTGCTGAGATGAACACGAGGAGGGGGCATGTAATGAGCAGAGTGTGTATTTACCTTCTCCAGGGTCAGCAGGCTACACAGAGGCACTTCTTTGAGGAAGCCACATGTGAGCGTGTCGCCCAGAGTACAAGCGGTGGGGGCAGGGTGGAGTAAGGTGCCGACCTGGCTGCAGAAAGCAGCTTGTGTTTCTGCTCTGACAGAGTCTGATTCAATCTTTAGAGGAGGGTTAACGATCAGTCTTCACAGAGATCCAACACGGCTCAGGGCTGGTAAATATATAACACAAGGGAAATTAACAGAACACACAGTGTGAACAATGAAATGCTTCACGGTACGTTAAAGTTGTCAGGGTGGGGCTGCAGCATGTTTCAGTCTGTGTGTGTGTTCACGTTATTCAACCAGATTCCCCTGAACCCCACCCTGAGCGAGTACAAAGGCCCCCTGTCCTCAGCATGTGCGCTCATGAGTGTGTGCCCCCAACACTTACGGTAGGTCTGGCAGATTTTACTACCAGTATGAAATGATGCAAAACAGAGGAAACAGCAGCATCAGTTAAGTCCGTCTGGAGTGGGGTGAACAGACGCCTGTGAGCACAAATGGTGAAACAGTTGCTAAAATCTGAAACACTCAGTTTGTGTGGCTTGAAGTGATGGTTTGTACAAACTTCACCAAATCTACAGCAAAACACAAGATCCCTGCAGGCTGCTCCCAAAGTCTGGTGCAAACCAGAAGAGTGGAGGTTGTTACAGGAGCACATTAATGTCCATGGATATAGGATCACATGTCACTACCACACAGGTACAGCTTTACTGTCCAGCTGTCCACATACTTTTGGCCACATTGGATTCAGTGACTTTGTGTAGATTATGATCTACACACGATCTTAAGGAGTCTGATCTCTGCAGCTCTGCCTCGGTCACATGACAGCGGTTATGACTCATTAAGCTGACAACAGGATTCACTCCCTCGACGAACGTCTTCCTCAGTGGTTACAACCAACTGCTGACCTTTTCAGCTCTTTATTACTTTAACCTTCTCCTGGGAAAGCTCACTGACCGCAGCAGTGGTGCAGTTAATGGTGCAGAGTGAGCGGGAACAGTGCACGAGGCTCATCTGGCCTTACGGCACAGAAACCTGGATCCTGGCCTGCAGGAAGGGGCCGCTCAGTGAAACAATGGCCTGGAGGAATCATTCTCATGTTTTCTTATCAAGCACGTTTACATTAGATTATTACACTTGTTTCAAGGTGATGGAGGTTTTTAAATCTGCATTTATTATTTACTTGACCACATGAAGATATCGCAGGTAGTTATAAACAAAACATCTGGATATTTTGTTCTTAGAAAGTTGATACAGTTGTCTCCTTCATTCAGAGTGTGTTAGAAAAAAGTCCTGCACATTAAAACGTCTAATGACATAAGACACACTATCGAAGACATCACCCCACCGGAAATGATGAGACGTGAAGAGTTGAACAACGCCCGAATCCCTCCCACTGATCCAAACAACCACGAAGGTCGACAGGAGTCTTTACAATTTACATAAAGCCCTAGATCTCCACAAGCCAGCTCGCGTCTGACAGCGTCCCTCTGCCATTTGTGGCTGACAGGTCAGCACAGTTTTCTCAAAAACAACACAGTGAGAGCGGTGACAACAGTGACAGCGAACCACAACAGTAAAGTTGTGGGCAGCAAAAGCAAAACAAAGAGGTAAAAGAAGCTAAACTTCACTGTAGAGCTCAGGTGGTGATCATCCTCTGTCACATCACTATCAGTTACACCAGTCACTCGATCAATCGATTAGCAAAACGTCCAGCTTGTGTTGCCCAGCAGCCACCATCCCTGCCTCACAATTTTTAGCTTGTTTTTTTGGCAGTTACTGGCTCGTCAGTGAAACCTGTGAGGAGCTACTTAAAATCAGCCATGAACTTAACATAAAGACTGAAGCTGTCAGGTCCGTTTGGCGTGACCTGCCTCTCTTTTGCCTTTCTCTCTCCTGCTCTCTCTTTTTTGTGGGATCAGCACCTCAGCTGTGCCGCTTTGTTGTAATTAGTGACTCGTGGGTTGTCGTGCACAGCTGAGGTGCATTACTGTAATGACTTCCTTACCTTATTTGAACCTCTGGCAGACGCTCCGTCATCACTGGAGCATTAACTTGCATTTACAGTAATAGACCTATACCAATAGTCATGGTATGTGTCGCACGTCGTTTTGACTTCCACGCTGACAGTCCCTGTGCTGTGGATCTCATTTTGTACGTAGGTTATATGTTTTGTGTTACACATCTCTAGACGTCCACACTGACAGTTCCTGTGCTGTGGATTTCCTTTTCGTTCGCCAGTCCTCCTGGTTGGTTTATCTATTCACCTGTCCGTCCTGATCCTCCTACTCTCCTGGTTCCTACCGTTAGTCTGCTCTACTCACCTGTTCGTCCTGGTCTCCTCCACCATCTCTGCCCAACTTTGCTATTATATGTACATGGACTATGATACGTGTTTTTTTGTTACTATGTATTTTCCCCATTAAACTACCTTTTTTACTAGCACCTGGGTCTGCACATTGAGTCCTACCACAGTTCTCCCTCACCCTTCTGGTGAGGGGGACTAAACCCTAATAGAAGCAGCCTGGAAATAGAAACTTTACTGTAGCACAGACCTCAGACGACACCAGGTCTGCATCCAGACAGTACATAAGGTTTCACACTTCGGTCTGTCCGCCCACATTTGGTCAAACTGTACTTTATTACCTCATGAAAAAATGTTCTGTGTGTTTTTAAGACCATTACCCATTACCGTTACCCAGTACTAACAAAACCTCCAGAGGAAAAGATTATTTTTCATTTTTATCCTTTGTGAATTGTTTTAGTAACGTTCTCGATAACCCTGATCGCTTAGTGTTTATACTGTGATGAAACTGTTTGACGTTTGGCTCTGTCCCTCCTCAGTTTAATCGACTGTAATGGGCCTCTGTACCCAAAAACAACAGAGGAGCTGGCTCAAGAGGGTAAAATACTGTAGGCAGGTGTAGTGAGAATGTAATGCTGTAAATCAGAGGGTGAGGAGGGAGTCAGAGTGAGATGAGCAGAGGGAGATAATGACCGGGTGTGATTAATCCTCGTGGTGAAGACATGAAACATTTCCCACAGCATGTTCTTCCTGTTTAGACTGGATTCACCGACGTAAACATAGGAAGGCCTCGACCTGGGACACATCTAATGCTAAGAGACACGGGGCACATCAGTGGTTACGTTTACATGTAACTTCATCCATGTTTTTGATCATATTTGAGATGTCACATTCACAAGGAGCACAGAGAAATGTCGCTACTGATGTCCCCGTTTACGTGCCCAAGTCGGTCCAGGTGTTCGGTGTCTGGCTGCTTCTCCATCTCATGATCAGCACCAGAAGATGACAATGACAGAACAATGATCCAGTTACAACTGTCAGACTTTATCTCAGCAGGTTTTCCAATCTTATGGGTGCAACATTCCCACTGTGCCATGGGTCCAAGGTCACAGGTTTGTATTAACGGGAGCAGTGATGCAGACAGAGAGGTGCCGTACAGGTGTCCACCAAACTGCTGCAGCCTTCATTAGGCAAATTGCTGCATGGTTGTTGACAAATCCACCTTTGTCAAACGTGGCTTGTTTCAGACAGCAGACACATCATTGTGCACAAACAACAGGATCCACATCCAGTGCAGACGCCCGCAGTGATTAGACCTGAGGCACTTCTTCAAATATTGCTGGTAAACAGTTGAGGACACTGAAGATTTTAGACTTTAACAGCCTGGAGGGAGTTTCTACAAGCAAACACAAGATGTGTACTCAACAGGTTTGAAGACTTTCAGTGTCTCCAAAGTGTGAACGTCACCTGAAAGATGCGAACGTACCAAACATCTGCAGGCTGCTCCTCATCTTTGCTGCTGAGGTTTCAGGACAGCTTTGCCAGTACTAGCATAACACACCCCAAGTTGTCACCCAAATGGAGATGGTTGATTTGCATTGTGGGTAATGTAGGCAGGAAAGAAGACTGTGTGGAATAAATAGAGATGTTTGTGCTGCATCGATTCAGATCCTTTAAACTGTTTCTCATGAGTCCGACAGTCTTATAGGAGTGTAATTAAATGTGACTACTTTTAGGTCTCTGAGACAGTTAAAATCATTTCACTCCAGGGACTGTAATTTTGGTAGAAACTGGACTCACTGCTGACAGTGAAGCACATTTTGAAGTTCACTGATCTTTTAATGATGAAAGCATTTTATTGGAACGGATACCCTGGTAGAGCTGATCCCCGTAGAAGCAGAGGCAGGGGGAGCACTGGGAACAGTTCTCTAAATCGAGCTTGTCATTTACATATTGAGCAACAGGGGCTGAGTACCTCCTTAGCTTGAGATTTTGCCTGAAATGGGTGTGAAACATTTGGTAAGATGAAGCAAAACAACAACCCAGAGACTGCGGATCCACTCCAGGCTCCACTGCAGTGATGTGAGGCAACCTGCCAAATCCAATGACACAGACCTGATTTTACTGGTGAAGGACCAGCGGAGTCTCCACCTGCAGACCTGACCGGCTTTCACTGCAGTTTTGCACACATCTCACCCTGAGTAAAAACCTTCCTGGGCTCCACAAACACTGCCGCTGCCCTCTGCCACACTTCTCTTACTCCCAGAGGAGCCGCGGGTTGGACTCGACAGGGGAGAAGAATAACATCCACACCGCCTGCCTCGTCTTACCTTAACGTGCGTAATCGTTTTGCGCTTCAGTCCGCATACTGGCCACAGGAGAGTTTAGACCTTCACTGGAGTACAGCGCACTGAGCTCTCAAGGTAAAATACTGTTGTTTTTTATGTTCAACAAAGAGAAAAGCGTCTGTAAAGAAAGGGTTTAACCTTTTCTTTAAATGTCACAGTGTTGGTGAGGTGATGGACACGGAGTTAGCGTTGGATGCATTTTTGCACTTTGCCGTTTTTAACCACAATGGAGATAAAAACGTAGCATATAACACAGATACGTGGTTGGAATCAAACCAGGGATGATTCAGTGTCGCACACTTTAAATATGACACAAACACAAAGTCACAATATGATTAAGGGCTTGAAGTAACTCGCTTACAGTGGGGTCCAAGTGTTTTACAGAACAGAAAACGTATCAGAGATGTGGAAATACCTTTATAACGTCAAGTAAAACGATAAACAATTACTAGCAACACGTGACAACAGCATTATCATTAGTTTAACCACTTTCAACATTAATCCTCATAATTATAATCGTTTTAAGATTAAGCAGAAGTAAATTTAAAAAAGAATGAAGTTGAGTTTTTCACATAAAAGCATCAACTGGCTGCTTCGCTGTGTCGTTTACATTAAAAATAGAAATAGGATTAATACAGTTTTTAGTTAAATAATCATTTTATCATGAAACAAAAAAAGTCTGCAGCCTGTTTGACCATAGCGACTCTTAGTTTAGCAAAACAAAAATAAAATAATCTGTAGATTAACTGACTGTGAACATAATCATTACTTGCAGTTCAATATATTTCTTGTTCCACTTGGAGAACTTTCACTTTAAGGTACCTTCTGAAGTTTTTTACAACTATTAGCATATGGAGACTGCAGCTGGAACATGGATGTAAATAATATAGAGTTTAAAAATATTCACTAAATTTGCAAAAGGTTTGTGCATTCAGCACTTTTGTTGATGTTCTTTTGTTTACAGCTCCACCAGGCGCCTTTATGTAAAGCTTTTACTTTTACTGGAGTATTTTTCCTTCACAGTATCACTAAAGCATAGGGGACAGGATTTGTGCATTTATATATATTATATCTAAACATTTACAGTCAGTGGTTTTGCTCGGGGGCCCCAGGCAGCAGATTAACAGTTTGTCCGTGACTGCAGGTTCACTTTCTTACATAATCTGGTTTAAACATTCAGGGTTTGATTCTGTATAAACAGGAACATCTTCTATGATCAGCACAGTGAATGTGTGGATCAGCTGTGATAACTGGAACAGTGTGAAACTGCCTTTGCATTGTCTTTGCATTGCTCTACAAACTGAGGCTACATCTGTGTTCGTCACACTCACTCATCCACCCGTCGTGTGTCAGCGCCGACCATCATATTTGTGAGTTATCATAGTTGTAGTCGCTCATGTTGTGCAGCAGAGCCCAAGTGATTTGGACCTGAGAGCATCAGCACTGTGAGCGGCTCTCAGCCCAACAACCCTTCTCTGTGTGCTGGCTTAGACGTGGCGGCTCCACCCTGACCCCCACCCATCACCCCTGCAAACACACACACACACACACACAAGATGTGAGAAAAGTCACTGAACACTTAAAGAAAACCACAAAATAATACTACTATACAAGTACAGAAGTATTATCTGAAAATGTTATTTTATGTACATCAGTAAGGCAGAGCAATTTTTAACAGCTCACCCTGATCTGAAAGGCTACAAGACATGTCAGTACAAAGTATAAGTACTAAATATTTTACACACAAGCATCTCAAAATTGTACTTAAGATGTTAATCATCTGAAGAGTGCTCTGAGAATCTCTCACTCTGAGAATGGGAATCAGCCAAACGTTCACTCCATACATCCTGCTGCTGGCCTGTGCACTCATCATACTGCCCATCCCGGTGAACGCTGCACAAGGCTTCAGCAGAGGATGCTGCAAAGTGTTTGACAGCTCTCTGGCAAAACTCTGCACTTTAACGAGTCCGCTTTTATAAAACTCACAGGACTGAGGGGGAAGCAGCAACACACAGTAATTAACCCAGGGAAGAGCTCCACATCTGAGGAGGATGATAAGAAATGAAGAAATGAGAGCTTGACATCCTGGTTCAGCCACATGATGAAAGAAGAACGGAAAGGAGGAGAGACACCTCTGACAACACAGACAAGTGGTGCTGATGCAGCCGGACTCCCGATCCTATGACGCAATCCCCCTCCAAACTACAGTCAAAGCTACTCGTCTTTCACTTTGAGGAAGAGTCAACTTTATCTCACACAAACACACTGAAGAATTTGGCTATAAAATCTGTGAAACACTGTCATTTGCTGCATGTTAGAAAGGAAGAAGGGAACAAACCAAAGTGAGGTCGAGTTCCTCATAGCAAACAGTAAAAGTAGCATCCATTATCTATATCACTTATTCCTAAACAGGGTAGTTGGGGGGGTGGGGTGGAGCCAATCCCAGCTGGCACTGGGTGGGAGGTGGGGGTCCATCCTGGACAGGTCACAGGGCTTATCTCCCTCCTCTCGCTGTGGCTCTCAGCAGAACAGCTCAGCAATATCCAGAAACAGCTGCTCACTGTGGTGCTTATCAAACAAACGGTGCATGGCTGGGGGTTATTTTCAGCGGCGGATGAATCCACACTGAGCCTCTGGTGAATGTTAGCGGCAGCAGGACGGCCTAAGTGGGACTGAGCCAGAATCAACTCCAGCGTGGTGTGTGTGTGATGAAGGAACATGTCATCCAGTGCTACACAGTGGAGATCCTATAGATACATTCATTGCTGGGTTTGGTCCATTCATGGTGGCAGCAGAAGCTTGCTATAGAAAAATACATCCTGTATGCATATGGAGACTGCAGCTGGAACATGGATGTAAATAATATAGAGTTTAAAAATATTCACTAAATTTGCAAAAGGTTTGTGCATTCAGCACTTTTGTTGATGTTCTTTTGTTTACAGCTCCACCAGGCGCCTTTATGTAAAGCTTTTACTTTTACTGGAGTATTTTTCCTTCACAGTATCACTAAAGCATAGGGGACAGGATTTGTGCATTTATATATATTATATCTAAACATTTACAGTCAGTGGTTTTGCTCGGGGGCCCCAGGCAGCAGATTAACAGTTTGTCCGTGACTGCAGGTTCACTTTCTTACATAATCTGGTTTAAACATTCAGGGTTTGATTCTGTATAAACAGGAACATCTTCTATGATCAGCACAGTGAATGTGTGGATCAGCTGTGATAACTGGAACAGTGTGAAACTGCCTTTGCATTGTCTTTGCATTGCTCTACAAACTGAGGCTACATCTGTGTTCGTCACACTCACTCATCCACCCGTCGTGTGTCAGCGCCGACCATCATATTTGTGAGTTATCATAGTTGTAGTCGCTCATGTTGTGCAGCAGAGCCCAAGTGATTTGGACCTGAGAGCATCAGCACTGTGAGCGGCTCTCAGCCCAACAACCCTTCTCTGTGTGCTGGCTTAGACGTGGCGGCTCCACCCTGACCCCCACCCATCACCCCTGCAAACACACACACACACACACACACAGCGTGGCCTGCAATGGCCCATGTCAACCCCCCAAATGAAAAGACAGGATATTCTACACACACAGTCGACTTCAATTTGTGTAAGTTAGTGGTGATCAGGAAACAAGAGGTTAAATGAAGTTGTGGCTCTGTTCACATCCACGTGTGTGAATGATTTTCTCTGTTGTGTCCAGGAAATTGTTGGTTATGTTAAGAAAGAAGTGGTCTCTGTATTTGCCTTATGAATAGACATTTCCATCATGTTGAGTAACGTGTTTGCCATCTACTGACTCCAGCTGTAAAGGAACTATTCCCCTAAATAATCCATGTGCCTCTCCCCATGTGTGTTTTCACCTCTATTTGTGTAGCAAACGCCTGCTTGAGAACACTGTATGTTTTCCGATCTCCTCCCTGTGTGGCAGAACCATAAACGAAGCACAAACATTTACAGTATCTTTGGTGAAAATGTTTACAGACTATATTCACTTCGTAAACAAATAAAATCTGAAAGAGCCACAGATTAATAAACTGCTGTGGTGGAGGCTGTCAAACATGAAGCTCTGTTGTCGAGTTCTGACCATCGTCACAGTCTCATCCTGACTTTTTAGTAACATCACCGCGTTCCCAGATCTCAGCCATGAACCTGATTAGCACGATGTTATTATGGCTGATAAGAATGAAGGCCAAAGCTACAGATATGCTGCATGATCTCAGTTGAAACATCCATTAACTCTGAGGCTCTGTTTGCCTAAACTTAAACACGCTGCAGCTGTTTTGCATGTTCAGCACATTGGTTTAATTACAAATCATTTGGAAAACAGTCAGTGCTAGCCACCCTGTGATAGCATTGCTATCACAGAGATGCTACAACCGCTGTGGACTCTGGTTAGTTATTTCATTTATGTGCAGACTGTGCATGAATTTAATCCTCATTTTACACTGTTGAGAATGTAAGGAACTCATGATGGAAGAAAAATGAGATGTAATCCTACAACTGAAGGTATTAACCTTCACATGTAACAATCAGCTGTGGTGATGCTGAAATTTGGCCTTTGGCTTTCACCACTGCTATGCACAGAAAGGCCTCCTTCTTTACAGCTGTGCTGTCAAGGATGGGAGAACTGTAAATACTTCCTCACACTGAGATAGGGTGAGAAGAAGGCTGTTAAAGGGCTGTAAAAAGGATCCATAGCAAATGTTACTCAAACAAGAGGAAACAGTGCATTTGTTGGGGACTATTTTCAGCAGCGGATGAATCCACATTCGGTCTCTAGTGAGTATTAAAGGCACCAAGACGGTGTGTGTGTGTGTGTGTGTGTGTGTGATGAAGGAACATGTCACCCAGTGCTAGACAGTGGAGATCCTATGGATACATTCATTGCTGGGTTTGTTCCATTCATGGTGGCAGCAGAAGCTTGCTATAGACCTTCCATGGTGGCAGCAGAAGCTTGCTATAGAAAACTACATCCTGTATGTTTCTTAGAAATTCATGTGGCGCGTCCTGATTGGACGTTCAGACACTGTTACCTTTTCTGCGTCTTCACAGACCTTCTGTTCTCCATA